TTAACAACATCAGGGTGGGCATCTTGATTGGGGCGTCTAGGTTTAGGCTTGGAGGATCTGAGGGAGGATTTGGAATCGGGTTCGGGCGGAGTAAGAGCAGATTCGGGGAGGAAGATCCGAATGCTCAGAGACGTAAACGGATCGATGTGTATATCCTTGGTAGCAACACCGTCGTTAAACAAAGGATTAGCGGAAGCAATGGTTTCATCGGATCGAGACGTGACTCCAAAAGGGCTGGATTCGTCAAGTGGAGCTTGGATCAGATTCTGCAAACGGTGCTTCAAGAGAAACTTGAAGAAGACGCTGTAGAGCTTGACAGCCACGCTTGGCATTTCTGTGGTTCTTCTGTTCCCCCCTCTTCCCTTCTCTTCTCTTCTCTCTTCTCTTCTCTGGGTCGCAGAATTCTAATTTGCAAAGACCAGAAATAGCAGAGGCGTATGGGAAGGAGACGAAAGAGACAAATTCATGGATGATAAATATGGATTTGGTCGCAAATTGGAATACCTCTCCGCCAATAGATCGAGTGAATTGGGGTCTTTGAAACCGGAAAACGCCCTCGAGATCTCTCTGAAACGCTTCAATGGCGTCGGAGTTCGAGAGAGGAAGAGGGAAGAAGAAGAAGAAGAAGAAGAAGAAGAAGAAGGCTCTTCTGGTTCTGGTCCGTGATGGGCATACCAACATACCCTCTCAATCGAACCGAGTTTATTTCATTTTCCTTCCAAATCTAATCAACAAATAAATTATATAAACCTTTAAATATTATTATTTTGGTTTCTCACTTTCGTTTTTTTCTTCTACTCTTGGCTTTTACTTCATTTTAGTTTTTTATTTTTAAAATGAATATAACATTTGTTTGGAATTCTACTTTTAAAACCCAACCATTTTGATCCTTATTTATAAAATTTAACACAAATTCTACATATACCGAGAACCTTTTTGATATAAATTCAGAGTTGTATTTCAAGAAATTTGGGTATCTATGTACGGTTTTGTTTCATCATGGTCCTTCTACCGATAAAACTTCTATTTTGATCTATGGACTTTCAAATTTTGTTCATTGTCATCTTTGTACTTTTAAAACTTTGATTTTGTTCATTGTATTTTTAAAATGTGACCATTCGAATTTTGATCCCTTCATTTTCATTTTTATTTTTATCTCATTTACTTTTATTAAAAATTTAACATGAAATTTTATTTACTACATTTTGTGAAATACAGTATGATATTTATCATACTTCATCCATTACATTTTTAAAGGTAGCTAATTAAAGGATTTCTATGGTATATAAAAGTTGTTTTAAAATTGTGTATATGTGAATTAATATAGCCAATTCTTAAATGATCCAAATAAGCATTTTGAAACTAAATAAAAAAATATTATAAATAAATAATAGGAAAAACAAATACTTTTTTTCGTTTTTGTTTTTGTTTTTCCCTTTTTCTAGGCTCTGTCGGAGATGTGCCAGGTAAGAAATGGGATGCCGCAAAAAGAGCAGCAATCCTGTGCTTCGCATGTTTCGTGTAATCGTGGAACCGACGCCTTGAAACGACGTCGGATAGTCGGGTGACCAATCAACTCTCGGGTAATATTGTAAACAATGAAATGACAGCTCAGCTTCCAGAGAATGTGACACATAATATAATTTCATTTTTTTAACATTAAAACCAATGGAATTATATAAACCGCTTTATTATTTATTATTTTAAGATAAAAATACAAGGCATAGTTCAATCTAGTTCCCAAAAATTTTGATTTAGTCCTTAAAATTTTAAAAATTTCGATTTGGTACTGACCGTTTGAACTGTCTTTTACCAATCCAAAAATTCGACTTATTTTCTTCTATTTTTTACTTGATTCTATGTTTAAGCATAGTAAACTAATACGTACATTTCTTTACAATTAAGAAAATAAAATTGAAATGATATGACTTGACTCCATTTAAATTATATTGATAAAAACTCGCTTAAATTAAATTAACAATAAATTTTAAAACTTCTAATCAGAGGCATAAATGAAAATATTATCGTTTAGTTAAGAGAATAAAAATGAAAACAAAAAATTAGTAAAGTCATGAAGTAAACTTACCTTTAAAGACGAAAAAGTTAAAAGTTTTTTTTAGAATAAAAAACATTAAAGTTAATTTAATAAATAATTTTTTATGATGAAGGATGTAGGATGTACAATGTTTTATTGATAATTTAATTTTCCTTTGCTTTATTTGTTAATTTTTCTCATAATTTTGTTTATGGTATTGAGATATCAATATAGGTAACTATAATTGATTATTAAAATTTAGATTTAAATATTAGTTTATTCCTCAAATTCTAAAACTTATTCTATGTTGAAATTTAAACAAATATTATATTTTAATTTCTAAACTAAATAAAAAAATATTTTGGTCATTGTCTTCAAAAGAAACTCAAATTTATTGATTTAGATATAATTTATTGATTTAGATTTTCTTTCAAATATATACGTTAGATTTGAATATATATATATATATATATATATATATATATGCTATATAAAGGAAAATCACAAACAAACCAACCAAGGGAACAAAAGAAAATCGACAAGATGGCCGGCCAAATCGAGCCGAACTCAGCCCATTGTCCAATCCGGCATCCACCCTCTTCTATTGCCCATGAGGCCTTGGACCTTATGACGGTTGTCTAGAGCTCACATAAAAGGTTCTAGAACTCTCCAAACGACTATAAATAAGCTATGCAACCTAACCTAAGGTAAGTTGAGTTCGACCGTTGAATTCTATTACTCTACTGCTCACCTTTACTAACTTAGACATAGGAGCCCATGTGACAAGTGTCACACCGGTCTAGCTTTGTTCGGTTTTGCAGGTCCCTAATAATCAAGTTTGGTGCAAACCTCGGAAGGAACCGGAAAAGCATAATCTACGCATCTACAATAAATAAATAAATATATATATATATATATATATATATATATATATATATATACATTCATTTATTTATACAAACATAATAAATATGTCTTTATTACCTGTAATACTATAAAACAAATATTTGATACAACAGGAGGTGTTGAAATGAAATACCATATAAATTTAAAAACTTCTTGGAAAACATTTCTATTTTTTGTTTCTTATTTCTCATTTTTTATTTTAAATTTTCCATCTATTTTTTTTTCTCATTTCTAATTTCAAATTTTCCATCTTTGAAAAACATAAACGTTTTGTAATTTATCTTATTTCCTATTTTCCATATTTAAGCAATGTTTTCAAAATTATGCAAAAATTTTCGAAACAACCAAATATAAAAATATTATTTTATCTTTATTAACTTATAAAATGTATAGTAAATATATAAAAAAAAATTGAATATTTAATTTTAGAAATTAAAATTCATATAAAAAAATTAATCTGTTTAATTTAAATTTTGAAAGAACGAGATACAAGAGTTACTAAATACGCTGTCGTATCTTTTCTCAATTAAAAAAGACAAGAAATACGACAAAAAATAGAAAGATTACAGAATGGATCTTTAAATGCCTAAAATTCTATCCATATGAATCTAAGATCCTATTTCAATATCTGAACTTTGGTTTATAGTCTATCCAATATTCTATTAAGATTCCTGAACTAGCATGTAAAAACTAATTTAATCCTTCCAATTATCCTGAAAAAAAAATTAATAATCAATCCTTCCAATTAATTTCTTAACGCGTCTTTTTTTTTTTTAACAAAGGCAAAGAATCAAAGGTTCTTTTTTTATTATTATTATTAAAGAATATTACTAGTTCTTTTTGGTTTATTTATTTGTTGAATAGATATCTACGCGATCAAAATTTTGAAGTCACATACAGTGAGATTTAAATTTATGTTAAAAAATTACCAAAAATGAATTATATGTGAAACTTAAAAGAATAAAACAACATTTGAAAGTTTCAAAAAAAATAATAATAATAGTTTCAAAAATAATAATAATAATTAAAATATTTAAAATATTTAAATTTTAATTTTAATCATAGTGGTGATCAAAAGGGGTTCGGATTAATTAAAAGGAAATGAGTTCAAACATAATAATCACTTGACTTAAAAATTGACTTAAAAATTAGTAATTCCTATGTATTTTCTGACACTAAATATTGTAAGATCAAGCAGTTGCCCCGTGAGATTAGTCGAGTTGATCATAAATTCGATCCTAACATTCACGGATATCAAAATAAAAAATTTTAATTTCAAGTTTAAATATTATTTTAGGTCAAAATGTCCCTTTTGAACTTTTGTATATTCAACTTGTGTTCATTATAATTTAGATACTTTGAAAGTGTTTTCAAAGTGTTCATTTTAGTATTGTAAAAAAAAAAAATAATGTTCATTTTAGTTTCTATATTTTAAAGAAGTGTTTATTTTAATCTTTATTTAGATACACAACAAAAACTTTTAACACAAATTTGTAGCAACATTTCAAGAAATTTATTAATTGAAGTGTCAATGTCGAAATTGTGATAAAAAAAATGAAGGGATAAAAATAGTCACTTTTTCAAAAGTACAAAGACCAAAACAGATGCTTCGAAAGTACATGCAACGGAACAAAACTAAAAATACAATTTACATTTTTTTTGGAGGTTTATGGTATTTAAATCAAAATTTTAATATGATCTAGAAACTCATCTCTATGTAATCCATGATGACATAATTTAAAAATAGAAATAGTCTTTTTCTCCTCCCATAATGATTTTTCTCCTCCCATAATAAGGCCATGTTTATACTTAAAAAGTTGAATTTTTCCATTCAACTTATTCCTCAATACTGTCAAATTCCTAAAGCCATCTCTTTTCGTAAATGGCTGCTATACTTTTCTAAACAGCAAAGTCAGCTCATCAATCAAATAAAAACTAAAAGCTAGTGGTTCCGTCTAAATCACTGGTCAGCTTAGTAAAGATATTAAATCTACTCAATCCAAGATGTGCATATGATATTATTGTGCAAGTTTGGTGAGAGATATTTTCCTGGGTTTGGGGGCTTACCCGAAAACGAGTTCCGAATTTCGGCTCGAATTCTGGATTGGGCAAAAACCGATGCACTTGAATGACCAACCAATCTGAAAGATGAACAAATCAGGAACACGATTCTGTAGAAGAATATACAAACAGTTCTGAGGTACAGTAATTTCTAACGACCCTACAATTCATGTAGCATACAAATCGGCAAACATATAAACGAACTCGCCGTCAGCAGTGTTAAATGTTTAAATCAAACAATAGATACAAGAGACTACCAATCCCAAGCTTTGATCCGAATTTTGTGCTTTAGTCCAATGTTTTGGATACCTTACCGCTTTGATGCAATCGCTTTAGCTGACTTTAGAGACCTCAAGCGATGGGATTGGAAGCTGCAGAAAACCATCACAGAAAACCAACCACGGAAAAATATTAAATACCATACCAATCTGAATGACCGTCGCAATCATGGACTGTCCACAAATAGTCACAAAACTTCGATTTTTGGCTATGCTCAAAGATCTGTGTGATCCATTTTATTGCATAGTGGCTGTGTTGGTACATGGCTACCAAAAAAATAGCAAGGATATCCATCCACCGTGTCACGTAGGGGCTACGAGGTGAACTGACATAAGCACCATGTAAAACGAGTGTCGAGAAACAAAGAATCTCCAACTGAATAATGCAAGACTGCTGAAATTTCAACTTAATGTTCCATCATCGCTGTTTCAGTTTCAGACAGTGGAGCTGCAAGGGAACCAGAATAACCATCAATTACAATTCAACGCAGAAAAACTTGTCTTAGTCCATAAGCAAACTCATCGAAGTTATGCCAATACGAGCATAGCTAACTGGTCAAGGCACTAAAGGTCTAAGGTTCGAATGCCCTCAAAATATGAAACAGAATATATAGATGCAAAACTGGGATATTTTCCCAACCTAGCCAACTTACCAAGTAGATCCTCATAAGAATCTGCTAGAAGTGACGGGTCCATTAGCAAAGGAGGCGAGAATACTTGATCCTGAGCATCATCATCAAGGTCAAAAACTAATTTCCGAGCATCAGAAGTTGCAGAATTTGACCGAGCAGAAGAAAGAAACCCATTTAATTCATCAAAATCATTGAGAGAATCCAAATCATTCAATGGATCAGTAAAATCCTTGAAATCGATTCCATTATTAAAATCATAAGCAGGAGGACTCTCAGGCAAGCAAGCATCCATTTGAGGAGCAGACAACCTTCTACTCCTCGTAGAAGGTCCTTTACTATCTGGGCCTAAACGAGAAAATCCAGTTCCTGAAAGAGGTACAAAGAAGTGTTCCGCACTTCCATCGGAATGGCCTTCTCGTGATGGTTCTGAATTGCTATATTTCATTGAAAGAGCAGCTTCTCTGACTGATCTCTTTAAATTCTGAACATAAGAAGACTCGGTATCTGTTGAAGAGAATGAAAACAGGACTTAGATTATCAAGATATCGTTGAAGTTAAAATGAGAGTAGTCAGCCAGCCGAAACGAAGGAAGAAAGTGGATGCAGCAAACCTTGTGGTAGGTTATTTATATGATCATTTGAGGAAGCCCGGTCAGGTGATTTGCTTTCAGATGAATTTTCTATTTGGCTGGTTTGAGATGCCAAATTTTGTCGCTTTTGCATATTTCCCGTCTTTCCAGAAGAGTTTGGTGTCAAACTAAACAATTGTGGGAGCTTTAAAGTAGGACTGGCAGACACCTTGTCAAGCTGAACAGAAGACATTTTTGAAGTCACCTCAGAAACCTCATCAGTGCTACTAACCTGAATAATTGAGAAAAACAGATAAACGTTGTTCAGCAAAATAAATTGCATCAGATGTAATAAAACAGCTTGTTAACAATTACCGATGTCCTTCCACTAGTCTGTGCTTGCATAGGCGACATGGATCGAACAGGATGTTTGGTCACTGGAGGTAGATTCAGAGATATATTGTTCACTTTCTCTGTACATTCTGATATTGATTTCTGTATTCCAGGAGCAACTTCCTTCAATTGATTGATGAGCACCTGCACATATAAGCATTGATGTCCACGATAAGACAACATTCACATGGACAAATAATAACTTATAAGATTCATGTGCACGCAAATTCTTGTACCAGAATTTTAAGGACATACGCAAAACAGGCCTAACAAACCTAAACAACTCCTTGATTTAGTAGGTCATCATCGCACCCATACCCACCCCTTCCTAGAAGAGCTCTACATTACTGAAATTTCTCAGAATAAAAAGGGTACTTCAAAAAGGACAAATATTGTTTGACTACAATTACAAAAGGGTGTTTAATAGAAACCTGCAAGCTTGCCAGGTGTTGTTGATGTTCAGCAAGAGTTGCCGTCAAAGACTCAGCATGGCCACTTGAACCACCATCATGAGCACCCCGTAGTATTTCAGGACCTTCTCCATCATTAGCTTTTGCCTGCAAAGTAGCACATGATAGATTTTTACTAAAGGAGCAAAAGCAGCTCTAATTTTTGTGTCAAACTATGTTGTGTTGAGAGGATATGACTGACAGAACAAAACGGTTAACCAATCCACAGCAAGATTGAGCTACAGTCTTGAAAATTATTCCAGACTCCAGAAGGAGAAAAGGAGCTAAATTTCCCAATAAAGAAAACTATAATAAATATATGCCTGTTAAATTATTTCACTCCCATTATGAAGAATGTTGTCAGATTTATGCAAGCAGGGAAGACCCCTCATATAATACGGTCAGCATGTAGCAACTAAGAAAGATTTCATTTGCACTCCGAAACTAAGACATCCAAGTACATCCCATCACTTGCATCAAATCAAACCAAAGAAGCACTTCAAAATATTATTTAAAAATGAAAGGTACCAGATGAAGTGACTGTTTATGAATACGCTGTAAAGCATGGGTCCAGCGCCTAATAATTTCTGCTACATCAACAGTGGGATGGACTCTTCCACTCCTATCGTCCATCCAAGATACCGAATCGTCACTTATTTGTGAGTTAGCATATGACCTGTCATTCTGATCTTTGTCATCCGAAAATACTGAAGCTAAATCACTTGATTGACTGGCCAGGACATCTGTATAAGGAACCTGAGAGCTCTGATCCATGGCAGCACGTAATGATGATCCAGAAATGCGGTACCTAAAGGTCAAGAAGGTCGAGATTTACAAATTAGCTTAGTGTGTGGCATTTTTATACCCTTATAAGTAAACACAAAAGTGTACCTATGCTCCCGGTGGGCAATTAAATCCTCTATAGGGCCCGATGCAAGAACTTCATGTTGGCCTGTACATCATGGAGATGAGTATTAAGTTATGGAACATACGTAATTGAGACAAAATATTGAGCAACCAGCTTTAATAATGATTTGTCAAATAAAATTTACCAACAAAAATAATAATCTACGGGCTAAACTAATTAATTTCAGATATTTGATCTTCACAAAGTCTAGTTTTTTTCATCTACTAGAAGGGGGAAATGATATGGTAAATGATTTCCAAGCAAAATATAGTGCAAAATATTCTTGAAAGATTTTACAGCTTTTCTCACACAAAAAACAGAGAGGTTTCCTTAAATCTCCTATTTATTCACAGAAGATAATTGGCAAGAGGCTCAAGATTCAAGGACTGCTACAATAGCCAAGCACAGGGGTTATGAAGAAACCTAGAAATCAGTCATTGTTCCAATTTCCATTTATATGATCTCATAACTAATCATGAATGATTGACCAAATGCCAAATCATTCATAAAAAAGTACATATATATTCTTCAGCGAGATTAGCATTGAAGACGTCTTTTTTCACTGAATTTCAAATCTGAAAAATATATACTCTTCAGAAGGAATACTATTGAATAACAGAACAGCATGGCAGATTACAAATACATGGATAAGTACACAACCAAAATCCAACGATTTTGTCCATGGTAAACGAAATTGGAAGTAGTTTGAAAAGTATAAAGCATATCTTTAATATAAATTGTAAACCACCTCACATTATACCAATATATATAATCTGTGCCAAAAAGAATGGCAACGTTTTTTATAAGAGAGAAAAAAAATTGACAACTTCCTGCAATCAAATTTGTGTTGCATGACATGAGAATTTTAGATCACCTTCTCAAATGTATCGACACATCCAGAGAATAAAAAGCAACTTAATTAGAAATCAAGGACACAGTTGTATAACCAATAGAACAGATCTTGTTCAAGTAAGGTCGTATAAAAAGCAACTTTATTGAAAGAAATAAAGAAGGAAAAAAAAAAGAACAACAGGATAATAGAATATTGTAATGTCCGAAAAAAATATTAACTGCTAGAATATTTAAAAACTAAATGAAACGAATATAATTTGATTAAAAAAACTAACTAGGTAGCTCAAGAGGGAGAACTGTATACTAACTTTTGCGTGCTAATATAGACTCCCACAAGCGAGTTGCCTTTGAAACTAAATGTGAGTTTTGACTTGAACTTGATACAAGGTCATCCCACAGCTCCCCTTCCAATTTTACTTTGTTCCTCAGATCATGCAGTTTTTCCAACTCTTGCTGCAAATAAGCCTGGCTTCCAAAATTCCCAAAAAGAGTGGGGAAAGAGGGAAGAAGAATGAGGCAACAGTCTTGAACGCCAAAAAGGCATCTCAAAAAAGAAAGCTGTAGGATTCTTAGGAAAATCAAAATGCGAACACCTCTTCAGCACAAAGGCCACGAAACTCGGCAGTCATTTCGTGAGCCAAATTAGACCACATGGCTTGCCGTTGCACTGCTGTTTCAGCATTCTTCAGAAACTTTCTTCTTTCAAGTGCAATTCTAGCCTATTTGAGACAAAGATCAAATATAAATGTTTGCAAGTAACAATCAAATAGTTCGGAACCGACCAAAGGGAAAGACCAAGTACAGAAAGACAAGGACAGAAAAATTAGGACCCGTTAAGTGGAAGGGTTTGATGATTCACTGTTATATAAAGCTACAGGCAGTTAAATGTGCCAAATTTAGTATAGTTACTACAAGACTTGTGAAAAAACAGTTATACATGACAAATTAATTTGTCAACCTTCGTACAGGGAAGAAAGTAGAGTTTAAGTTTCTTAATCGTATTGGGGAATGAAACAGTTGTCTGGTGACTCTAATTAACAACTACCTTGGTTACAGGAAGTAATGTAGCTGCATGTGAAAAGGCTACATCTGTCAACGGTGCAGGAAGTGGATTAGATGCAACATCAGCAGCAAATGTTCGTCTGTGAACCTCCCGCAAAGCATGCAAGGAAAGTTGCCATAACAGTTCAACAAACCTGCACACAAATATCCAGCGCAGATGTATCTCTCACTCTCTTAAATTATTTCCACCATGAAAATGTCATCTCAAATTTTCGCATCGTCGCTCGAACATGCCTATAGCCGCTAAAGAAATAAGCGAAGGCCGCAAGGCCACACTCTCTTTCCACAATTGACTGTATACCCAGAACAACTCACGAGAAACTATTATAAATGATAGCAAGTTAATAAAGTAGCATAATGAACTGACCTCGGTCCACAGCAGGTGGCAAGAGAAGAAACCCTGGAATTGCTCCTGGGTAATGCACCTTGAGATTCAAGCTCACTGATGATCCCTTGAACGACCTAAAAAAAAAAGATTCCACCAACTAGTAACCAAAATTAATCCGAAAAGTAAAGTTAGAAATGGGAATTCGTACCTTCCGGAAGTCCCGAGATTGGGCGGAATCGAAGATTGGCCAGACCTTATCGAAATCCTGAGAAGATGGAGATGTAAATGGGTGGAAAGAATCGAGGAGATCGGGGGAGGAAATGAAATAGAGATGAAGAAAAGGTTACTTTAGCGGATTGAAGTGGTCCTCTGAGAGAAGATAGAATGAAGTAGAGGAGCTGTTCGCCGAGTTTCGGATTGGAGTGGCGGAAAAGGCCGACGCGAGGGGTGCCGGTGGAAGCTCCGACGCCGATAACCGCCGGATCGAGGCCCAAAAGCAAACAGTTAGTGTACATTGCACTCTCGAGCTCAATTTCCCTCTCCTTCTCCCTGTCCATCGTCATCACCAACTGGAACCGCCCTTCGCCGCCGTCCTCCTCCTCCTCCTCCTCCGCCCTGCAATTCTCTCTGCAATTTTCTTGGTTGCTTTCTCTTAGGTTTCTTCTCTGGTCTCTCTCCCCTTTCCGTCTGGCACGATTCCGAAAGGTCTTTTTGATTCTTTTTTCTTTTTAAATTAAAATACCATCAATAAATATTTCAATTTTCTTTTGCTCCCTCTACTTTCATCTTTTATCAATTCCAGACCCTACTTACAAAATATTTGCATACTTTCTTTTCTTTTCATCAATTCTAATATATTTTACTACAACGTGTGAAATGGAGATTCGAACTCCATGAACTTTTAATCAGAGGTAGACGATTTGATTTATGTTCGAATTTACCAATTTTAGTTAAATAAAATATTTTGTAAGTAAGGACTAGGTAAATTTTAAATAATTTAGAGTGAATAGATTCAAAATTAAGCTTGTAAACATTACTTTGCACCTATGTATTTTATTATTGCGTTGTATTGTATAGACCTCATTTCATTATTTAACTCAAATTTCAAATATCATTTATTGTAGTTAAAGAAATAATTATCAAACAAGCTTATCAATTAGTATAATAACTAAAATGGATTTACACCGTAAATAATTTTTTAATAGGCAGGGGTGGAAGATGTCTATAATTGTAAAGGTGGCCCAAATTTAAACCAAGTCTGGGGCGGTTTTGTTAATTTGGAAAGTTATTGTGGGGCCGGTATTTGTGATTAAAGAAATGTGTGGGCCCCCCGGGGAAATAAACGAGACTTTGGATGTCAACAAAAAATTTGAAATGATGGGAGAGGCGATACTAACGTGCGCCTTGACTTGTTGGCAAAGTCGTTTCGATTTCTCGCTGTACCCCAACGGCTACAACGCTGTCGTTTTGATCTGGATAAACAAATTTGTTTCTTCTTCTTCTTTTTTTGGTTAAATTAGTCTTCAATTTTGATTTTTGTTAAACTCTTCTGCTTAGATGAGATGGCATGATGAATTGATGGGTTTATGTTACTAGTACTGTAATTTTGATTTGATTTTTTTTTGTTTTTTGAAAATTTAAAAAATATCTAAAATAATAGTACAAATAAAAATTTGTACTATTATATATTTATTAAAAGTATGTTATTGTCAAGTAATTAACTTAATTTTTCCACGGTAATAAATAAAAATTTTCTATCTCACATTAATAAAATATAATGGGGTCATTAATATTCTCATAAAATTTTCTTAAAACTTTACTTGTTATAAATTTTGATTATTATTTTTTTCCAGTACAATACGTGGAGGTGGGAGTTGAACTCATAACTTGTTGGTTAGAAATATATGTCAATTACATTGAACTATGATCTCTCCGATATCATTAATTTAGTATTATTATTTATAGGTAATCATATTCACATTTTTATGTTTAGTTCAACAAACGTGAAAAATGATCATTCAACTTTTAATTTTGAGAAAGGTAACATATTATTGTCTACTAAACTAACTAGGTTTGACAATAAATTATTTACGTTGTTATTTATAGAAATAAATAATTTAGTAATTGGTTTAGGCTTAGTTGTTAAAATAATTGCTGGAACGGTACTTTTAGAAAACCAACTCAATAACTTGAAAAGAGAAATAATTTACAGTACTTGTTAAAATAATATTATATTGTCGTGATTTAGCTGTAAAGTAGACATATTAATTCAATTATTTTGATATCATACTTGTATTTAAATTTGTTGTGTTTTTAAGACATATCTAAATTTGTTATAAGATACTTATTTAAAATTTTATATGATTGAAATAATTACAATATGTTTATTCCATGTATTTTTTTTTATTTTTTGAGAAAATTATTCCAGGTTATTTGATAAAAGATCATGAGAAACACAAATTAAATAGTGTATATATACATCTATTTTAGTGTATATATACCTCTATTTTATTGATTGTGGTTTTTCTGTGTTACTCAATAATATTAGAGTTAAGCGTGGAAAATATAAAAAAAAATTGAGTTCCTTTTTTAACGGGTAAAACACGAGTTTTAATTCAAATGAAAACTTTTAAAATCATTAAAACTAACTTAAAATTAAGATCAAACCCGACGAACTAATTAAATCGAAACTTAGGACCCAAAAATTCGAAATAATGATTTGAAATAAATTTTTAATTGAAAAGATGTTTAATTTATTTGTATAAATGAAATTAAAAAAATAGTTTGAAGGGGCTCTGGGGTTCACTTTGTTGGACCGTGAAAACAGGCCCATTTTGTGGGCTGGGATGGTGATTTGGTAGGCCTATACAGATATGAGGAAAATTGACCGCCATTGGAAGCGAGTTTTTAGAGAAAAACCACGCTGCATTTTTGCGAGATTTTGAAACTTATTGTTTCAAAGCAGCGAAAACTCTCGCAAAATTCCCACGAGATTCAACTAGATGGTCACGCTTCTTCGAGAATCAAAGTGCTAAAGCACGAACCCCATTACTGATGGACAAATCCGTTTGGATCGATAGATCTACTTTCAAGTTATAACATTTGAATTTCTCTGACATTCTATTTCCGCATTTGGGCAGCAACAACCCTCCACCTGCCTACGTAGGCACTCATTTGAATTTCTCACCATCTACCCAATTGACCTATCTATTCAATTAATTAAACAGACTGGCCCCACCGTCTAATAGAGCCAAGAAGAAAGGTATGTCATAGACGACCTACTTCCATTCTACCACAAGTCCAGGGCATAATATGCTCGAGAAGAATAAGTCCTTTCTGCTGCGAAGCCCGATCACCAAAGTCCTAACCCACTTCAGGCATGCAAGCTCATGGTTGTGTTAGATACGAAATTGAAAGTTTAGAAATTTATTAATTATTTTAAAAACTAGATAGATATAATCTTGAAAGTTTAGAGACCTAAAATTTTTTGAAGTATCAACTAACTAAAGAAAAGAGTTTCGTCTCTGAGGTCGGGAGAACAAATAGGCTTGAGGAAGAGGGAGACGGGGGGCCACAAGCCCTCTCCCGTTGTTGTTCTAGGATCACCTTCCTTCTCCTTCGTTGGACCTAGTGAGTTTCGATGAGATCAGATCTCTTGAACGAAGTGAAGTGATAGGAAAAAAAAGACAGCTGGCGGGAGATCTCTATTCATTACACCTCATTTATAGGTGGGGGAAAATGAAAGTGCGCTCCTATGCATGAGCTAAGAGTTTTGGAAACTTACTTCTTATTAGAGGAAGGGGCAAGCCAAAACCAACTCTTAAAAAGTGGTGGGATCGAAGTATCTCGAACATTCTACAGTCGTCCGTTAACTGCAGAGGGGGTTCGATTACCATTTGATTCACAAACCAAACTGGCCAAAGATAAATCAATAAGGGAGCATTTCAACCTTTGCAAATGAGTTTAAAATCCTTATTATTAATATCATATTCATGATATTGATATATTTCCACAATTTTTATATTATGTCAATATCTTTTGAAATATTAATTATTTCTTCAAGTTAATGTCAAATTCATGGAGACGTGAAAATATTGATGAAAATTTAATACATCTCTCCAATAATATTACCGTTTCCACTCCCTTCAATTACCACTCATGATTTCACCAGTTAAGAACGAAAATGAAAATTCAACCATATAATAATTAAATTTAAGTCTTTAGATTCAGTAGTAGTTTAACACTGCAACTATAAAACGATAAACGGATGAGCTATCAACCCATATGAGTTTTTAGTTCACCCATTCAAATTCTATACCACAAAGTGGGAAATCCAAATTGTGTGTTTATCTTAAACTACGAGTTTGTTAAAACACCAATAACAATGTAAAATTACATCAATATCCAATAAATATATCATGATAAATATTAAAAAAACAGATAATAAAAGAAAACACATGTTGAATTTTCAATTTAAACGATTATTGTCTTCAAATTTATGAAATCACTATTAATTTAAACTCTATATGGTTATGATTATTGTAGCTTGACGAATGCAGAATTCACCAGCCTTAATCTGTGAAACTATTGCAATTAAAGCCAACTACTAATAGAGTTATAACTGTGAATTTCTTTTTTTTTTTTTATTATTGTTATGATTTCGTAACTTTATGGTAATTGCTCAAATTGAAAGTTTGAGACTAAGATGGTAACAACATTGGGGTGGATTTTGCAATTTTCCATAAATATTTATAAACCTATAGCTTGTCCTCTGCTTTAGTCTAAAATTATCTCTACAAATTAACTAATACGGTTCTTTCAGCATTCTTCGTCCTTACTTATGTTTCTTGGGAAATTCTCGTAGAAGGTCACCTCACGCTCCAAGCCAAACACGTTTAATTTTAGAGTTTTTATGATTGAGCCACTGAAAAGAACGTGCAACTTGTTGGTATAGGAGGTAGTTCTCTTAAGTCTTTTTTAACCATCATTTCATGATCTCAAGATCGCTCTCATTCAAATGTGGTATCTATTTTCATTCATGTACCCCTTCTCTATTCGGGTATCACAGTCTCTCCAAAGAAATTATTGTAAGAAACTGGAACAATGTGAACGGTAATTTTTACATCGTTGGAGGTATATGAGAAAAATTATAAATTGTATTTTAAATATGTATCGAAAAATTATTGAGGAATGTTCTCGTCGAAGATATTAATCGGTTGAGCTATTGAGATTGGCACAATCTTAAATATTCTTATCATTTTTTTTTATGGTTTTGCTTTCTCATTCGATGTAATGTTCAATTGCACTATTTTTCTGACAGATAGTTCGAATCCCTACCCCCACGTGTTATTGTACTAAAAAAAATTGCACTCTTTTCCCGCCTCCCTTATTATTACATTAATTTTCCAACGGTTATATTCTAATTAAAATGGAAAATTTTTAATACTATTTTAGATCTTATTTGGTTCATTTTGGTTTTTATACTTTAAAAAATTCATTTTAATCTATATACTTTCAATTTTATTCATTTTAATCTCTGTACTTTCAATACGTCCATTTTGGTCCCAGTATTTTTAAAAAGTGAATATATTGGTCTTTCATTTTCATTTTTATCTCATTTATTTCAATCACAACTTTTGCATACTCCCTAAATTTCTTGAAACATAACTATAGATTCGCATTAATAT